ACGCAGACATCATTGTTCATCGGTTGTTGGCTGTGGCTATTGGGGCTGACTGTACTTACCCAGAGTTAACAGACAAACACAAGCTTGCAGATTTATGTAAAAATCTCAATTTCCGACACAAAATGGCTCAGTATGCTCAGCGTGCATCAGTGGCCTTTCATACTCAGGTATCTGTCATCTTATCAGTGAGAGAGGTGTTGTTCCCCTAGTTTCCAAATATTGTTGCTGTTACTATCAAAATATTTTAAGGCATTTGCTAATAAGGTTGTATGTTATTTTACAGTTATTTTTCAAAAGCAAAGGAATAGTAAGTGAAGAAGCCTATATTCTGTTTGTAAGGAAGAATGCTATTGTGGTGTTAATTCCAAAATATGGTTTGGAAGGTACAGTATTTTTTGAAGAAAAGGATAAGCCAAAGCCACGACTTATTTATGATGATGAGGTAATTTTTTTTGTTTTCTTAATTGACATAACGTTTTCCACTTTTGTTTATAGAGGTGTACTATTTCAAAATTTTCTTTTGAGGGGAGATTGCTTTTTCATAGGTGACAAACTATACTTATAAAAGGAAGTGTCCCCTCAAACTAGTGTATCTGTTCTTTGGGGAGATACCTAGGAGTAGAATTGCTGGGTCATATGGTAGATCCCCATTTTAATCTTTTGAGAAACCTTCATATTGCTTTTCTTGGGGGCTATGCTCCCACCAACATATAAAAGGCCGCCTTTTTTCTCCGCATCCTGAACAGTACTTGTTACTGGTCTTTTTGACAGCAGCTTTTGTCTGAATGAGGTGATATCGCAGTGGTTTTGATTTGCATTTCCCTGTTGATAAGAGATAATGGAACATTTGTTCATGTGCTTCTTGGCCATCTGTATGTCTGCTTTTGGGAAATGTCTACTTAGCTCTCTGCCCACATTTTGATTGAGTTATTTATTTTCTTTGTTGAGTCATATGAGTTTTGTATTATGATTGATACAAGTTCTTTGTCAGATGTATGAAGTGTGAATATTTTCTCCCATTCAGTTATATATCTTACGGTTTTTTAAGATTTCTTTTGCTGTGCAGATGCTTTTTAGTTTGGATAGAGTGAGAATTCTGAGATTAATGAATATATATATTGGAATTACCTTAATAAAAGGAGAAAGTATGCACATAAATAGACAATATTTGTATGAGGCTGCTAGAGATTAGTGGTTTGTATTATACTGAAAATGAGATATTAAATATTGAATTTTAACAAAGGATAAACTGTAAGAATTACAACAAAGCCTCTAATATAAGGAAGCAGTTAAAAATAGCACAATGTTTTGTTTAGGTACCAACACTTAAAATTGAAGACACAGTGTTCCATATATTTGATAAAGTTAAAGTGAAAATCATGTTAGATTCATCTAATCTTCAGCATCAGAAAATCCGAATGTGTCTGGTGGAACCACAGGTGAGCCCAAACTTACATTACCCATACTGCAATGGGGTAAATAGTGTATTTTGTGGAAGAGATGGGTAGAGCCCTGTCACTTTTTTATTTGAGGAAGTCCTGTAGTATGTTTACCGAATATTTCCATAGCAAGTCCTGCCGTCTCAGATTTCCCCAGGCCACGGCATTTCGGTAGTTGTGAAATTACCTTGATACCAAAAACAGAGCTCTTTCCTACCGAGTCCTTTTTTGCTTTTGTCTCTTTTGAAACCTACACTTCACCTAAGGTGTTGGTTCTTAGCCTTTGCTCTGCCCCAGCATGAGTCTTCTCATTACTTGTCATTGAAGCACAGAGAGGAAAGATTGGATATATTTTAGCTGAAAACACACTTCCCAGATGTCATGCCTCACTTCTATTCTGCAAGTACATCTACTATTTCTGAACTTTACTGTGTACTGTAAATGTATATACTTTGTGTGGAAAACCTTTATTAAAATCCTCTTCCTCTCTCTTTAAAATGTTAATAGGGAAAAGGAGAAAATGACTTATTCCTTAGTTTGCACTTTTTCTTACCTTATTTTCCCCTTATTACTCTAGATACCAGGAGTAAGCATACCCAATGATACTTCAAGCACGGACATTAATGAACCAGACAGAAAGAAGAAGAAATTTGAAAAATAGTAAAAGTGAACAAAAAGCAACCTTCAAAGATTGGTTTTCTTAAAAAAGATTAAAAAAAAAAAAACACCTTGAGATCACTTTATAGCTAAGAAATATGTGCTAGTGTTACTTTTAAGTACATTTTAATAATTTAAAAAATTTGCATTTTTATTGAACTGTTGACTGTGCCTGTCCCATCATGACTACATTTCTGGATTGAACAAAACTATTTATGCAGAAAAATTCAATTGAATATCATTTTTAAATACTGACAAGTTAGCAACTTCAGGGATCTGGAAAGATCATTTAAATGGGGCACTCATCTGCTCATTGAAGAGCAGATTAATTTTACATAAGTAATTTGATTATTTAATATTGATGGAACAAAAGCTCATTTTCTTATGGAGGAAAATAGGATATTTTTAGAAACGAGGAACAATCTATTCTTTCTAAATCTTGAAAGCTGTCAGTGTTTGGTATGGCAGTTTTTAGACAATGAACTCAAGATCTGTTGAGGAATTTAGCATTTAATCTCCTTTGCCATCTTTAATTTACTACCTTACATTAAGTGCTTCCTGCTAAAATAAGTCTCTGCATTTTAGTTGTCCTTGAAAATCTGTCCATGTTTGTGAATTGAATGTTGTCTAAGACAAGTAGGATATTTAATCGGATTGGGAAAAGTTTTTTCTTAAAACCAAGTAATAAATGAGATTAACTTTACCTCAGGTCTGACAAGGCATTGAGACTTTAGAGCTGTCACTTTAAATATCTACATCATGTTACATGTGAAATAAAATGTGTAGTTAATGGCTTTTATACTGCATATGAGTCAGATTATGTTGGAAATGGAGTACTGTGTAAGGACACATTAAAGGGAATGTATTTTCAATAGTATTTTTTAAGCCATTGACTACTTCCCTGGTTAACCACAAAGATTAGGAGTGATTAAATTTGTGTTTTCAATTTTTGATAGTTAACACAAAACATTTGATTTGATTTCTAAAGTATCCACAATAGGCCCTGCACATCATCAGTCAAGTAAACAACCTCTTCAAAGTAGCTTGAGGTACAAGGTGAAACAAGACTGGCAAATACACAGACAGGAAATACAAAGTGGTAGTAATTACAACGTATGCAGCCATTTAGGTACTGAGTCGTTAAGTGATGGCTCAGTTTATCCTTATGAAACATCCATATACTGAGGCAGAACTGTGGCAGTTGAAGGAGCTTGGCCTGTATCATCTTGGGCCAGCTCTTGGGCTAACACACCATAGAATTTGTGCAGAGGGCCAGACATTTTAGGCTCTATGCGCCTTATAGTCTTTGTTGCAAGACTATAGGACTCGACTTCTCTTAAGGTGTAAAAGCAACAATAGACTGAATAAACAAACATTTCTGTTTGAAAGAAACCTACTGATGAATATGGAAATTTCAATTTTATATTTTCATGTGTCACAAAATATTACATACTTGATTTCTATGACATGTCTCTCACCTCCCATGCTAAAAATTCTAGTTTTTCAGTGGAAAAGGAAAAGGGGGTATTCTAAAGTAACACAGGGCTGTGATTGACATTATAAATCTATCCAAGGTTTTCTTGTGCTTCATTTATGACTAAGTTTAACTTAGGCTCTACTGCCTACTGAGTAGTTCCAGTGACCAAAAGCATTGTTAATTTCACACAGAGGCCTTGGTAATCTAAACTGTTTCTAAGTGCCAGCTCTTAATGCTAAAGCTGTTTGCATGGAATATTTCACTTAAAAAGCTGTTTGGACTCTGTCTCCGGTGAATCCTCTCACCTTCTGCATCTCTGGCCTGTACCCCAGCTCTGTATGAATGAATAAATAAATCTTTAAAAAAAAAAAAACTGTTTGGTAGAACTAATACCACTATATTAACAAGAGAAGATCAATAGAAGATTTATGGGCTAGTAGTGATAGGAAGAATCCAACTTAAAATCACTACTTTCTTTCTTGGCTTATGTTAATAGTGAGTCAGGAAGCTTCCTGCTTTTGGGATTTAGAACTCTTAATGCACAGCAATTACCTTTATGAATCCCAAGCCTAGGTGATCAGGGACTCAGTTGCTAATGCACTTACTATAGCAGTGGACCTAGTGGCTCCTAGCTTTGAAGGTTAGTGTGTTGAGAGACAGCATGATGAGTCAGGTACACAGGAAGAAATATGCCTTGCAGGTTAGCAATGGCTTTATAGGGTGCAAAAACGTAATGAAAAAAGTGACACCATGATAATGTCTTTATTTCCTGAGCTACAATGAATTATTGCTCTTTTGAGTTAGACAGTTTTCAAAGGTGATTTATAAATACGAATATACATATTTCAAAGGTAAAGACGCATTCTATTCCCAACATGATCACAAGCTTTTAAAAAATTTTGTTATAGTGTGCCCAAAGCCCTCTAGGAACTCCCAGTCACTTAGTCCTTTTATCCTGGTTGTTTCTCTGGTCTCACTCTTCCCGAGCCAAATTGGAGCTGGAGACTGTGTGATTCCACTATATTCTGGGCATCCCATCTTTGCCCCATAACAACAATATGTGATATTAAAGTGACAATATGTTAAACAATGTAGTTAGTACTACCTTCCTAGTATTAATTTGTAAAAACAGTAACTAGAGAAGTTGTAACTAAGAATTTCTGCAAAGAATGAGTTTTTGAAAATGCTGATTTGATCAGATATGCCAAGAATCACCCCTTCAATTAAATTTTATATCTAAATCACAAATCACATTGCTTACACATAGATTATAATTTAAATTCATTTTATAGTCATAAATTTATGTAACATAAAACTATTTCTCAAAAATATTTTTAAATTCAGTGCTGACAGTAGGGCTTACTAGTAAGGAAGTTGTTGATCTACAGAAGCTACTTCACTCAGTTTCTTAAACACATCACTCAAGGTAAGTACAAAAATACTTATTGATTAAAAAATCAGTAAGTACTTCAACTTATTGAAAGTTCCAGGATCTTTTCTGTTGTTCCTGTGTCACTAGGTTAAGCTCTTGATTTTTCACATTAAGGAGGGAAGGAATGCTAATAAGTGTGTTAGCTGAAGTCAATTTTCCCCAATCATAATCACATTATTGATCCTGTGCATAAAAAAATATGCGAGGCTTTATTGAACAATAGTCCTTGATTCTGAAAGAGGTATTCTATGGACTGCTATATTGAGGAAGATTTGCTGTTTTCATCCAAAACCTTTGTGTTGTGTGCTCTTGCTATGAAAGAAAGAGAAGAAAATACTTTGTTAAATATGAGCATTCAGTGATCCAAGTTTTCAAGGAAATAAACTTTTTTAAAAAACTTGAATGATGATATCCTTAGCTTAACTCTCCTAAAGGACAGTAAAGATACAGGTATTTACAAATCAAAACCTTATATCAAAAAGAGCACTTCCTCTCTTAATGCTTGTTATAATCTTACCTCAGGCGAAAGGGAGGAAAGTGAAAACAAGATAGTGGCATATTGAGGCATAAACCAAATTTTAAGCAAACTGGAAAAAATACAGACTACAGTCTAGACTAATTACAACTTGTAAATAGTTGTAACTTACAACCACCATCAGTCTCTCATGTTTCCATACCTTTGTATTAAAATTTTGAGATTTATTTTCAACTTCCAAGGTTTGTACATCATTTTCTTTGCAGTAACTTTCTGTTCCAACTGTATCCATAATGTTGCTTCCATAATTCTGTGTATTATAGCCACTATCCATCTGACAGGAATGAGAAAAAAAAACCTCAGGATAATACCATGAACTATATAATTCACTTAAGATTTACTTGACAATATTTAGAGAAAATATGTTTATGTAGATGTGATTTATGTTTGTAGATAAAATGTATCTTAAAAATTTAAAATTTAAATCATTACAATGCAACTTCAGTATGGGTCACAGTGAATGCAGTTTAAAATGTAGTTCTTCATAGAACTGGTGGTTCTGCAAAATATTCACTTTACAATTCCTTTAGAATCAAGCAATAGCTACCACATAGAAAACAGTTTCTAGATGCTAGTTTTTCTTTTTAATTAAAATTGTAGCAATATAGAACACAATGACCCAGCTCCCAGGAGCAAAATAGAAAAATGAAATTCTAGCACACTTCAGTTTTGATACATACACAGTAAATTATCATTTTTAGCTGCTCCTTACAATCCTATTCACTGATGAAGCCAAAGCTCAAAGGGTGGTGTTCACAAAGAATGAGGTGATGAAAAGCTGAGATTTCAAAGTCCCTGTTTACTTACATTGCCTTTTCCTGCCTTAAAGGCAGAGCACTGAACAGCACAAGCCACAGAGATAGAACTGGCACTCAAGCCATTTTCTTCAAGTTAGGATTAAAGGGGAGGAAAAGGCTTTGTACTTTCATGCCCATCAGAAATAGAATACCTACAGAGTGCAGTACCTACAGGAATATTTGTTTCTCAGTAACATGGATATTTTTTCATATGTAAAACATAACATCCCAGGAGAAATGTTTTACTATCATTTGACAGCTACTTGATCAAAAACATTTACCAGATTGCTTCCCCAAAAATACAATGACAAATAATGGATTTATATAGCTGAATATATCAATGGAAAAGCTAATAGTAAATAAGGCGCCCAGTGCTTTGTCCCACTCTGTAATACAGAGAAGCATCAACAGGAGCCCCAAAAGAGAGTGGCTGACCCACTGCTCTCATTGAAGCCACAACAAACAAGTGCTTCTATGTACCAGCCAGACAATACAGATCACCTACAGGATCAGCAGCATTTAATGGCTGAAAAGGATAATGTGCTAAAACAAAAACATCATGTTCCATTTTCTGTCATACGGAACTGGCCTGGAGGAAAAGTATTTCCAAAGTCAAATGTGAGAGCAGAATGAACATATGATCAAATGCACAGCTCCTTGAAAAGTGTGTTCTTCCTTACAAAGTTACCAGAAATGTGTTCCAGGAGAGAGAGAGTAGTACTAGAAAGGGAGGTCAAACAGGATCTGGAACACAAGAGAGGACAAGGGAATTCCTTGATTGATGATCCAAACATCCATGTAACCAGGATCACTACTGCGTACCATATATGGCGTCCAAGCAACAATGAAGTAAGTCTAAAGGCTCTGGGGAAATGGTTGTCTTCAAGTGTTTGATGCTACCTCTGTGGCAGCAAAGAAAGAATATAAAAATCTTTAACTACAAAGTATTCTCTAAAAGGGAGACATTATTGATCTGGCCCAGTAGGTAAAACTGTTCACAGGCAGAATTCTACTTTAGCTCTATATAAGTGAGAGCTTGTAATGTCACAGTGAACTGGAATCTTTTGCAGATAAGCATAGAGTGGATGACAATTTAGTAGTGATAGAGGCAGTGGTTGGCTGGGTTAATGGCAAAAGAGTATTACATCAAAGTATTTTATAGCTTTATAAATGCTTTGAGAAAAGGAGAGAAATAACATCTTTAAGGTTAAGTTTGACCATGTTCTTTTCGCTTGAACCACATCTAGAAGCTGGGATAAGTAAATGATTCTAGTAGTTTCTTCTTTTTTAATTTAAGTAACTAACCATAAAGTCACAAGCATGAGCAAAAGATAAAATATGGGTCATTTAGAATCCTTCCCTGAGTTTTAAACTTAGCATGCCAAAGCTAAGGCATTATTGCAGGGGGTTGTAAAAATTAAATGAACACACATATATAGAGTACATAATGTCAGAACAGTTCCTGGTACACTTAAAGCTAAATTAGCTATTAGTATAAATCAGCTTAAAGAATACAGACTTTAGTTGGACTGCCAGGATTCAAATCTTAGCTCTACTACTTACCGGTCATGTAAGTTTTAAGTCAGTTACTCAACCTCTCTGGCCATCTTCTCATTTCTAAAAATGGGATCACACTACACATATTTCAAAGGACTTTTGTGAGGATTAATTTACATATTAACATATGTAAAGTATTCAGAACAATTCCTGGCATATAGTAAGAACTATTGTATTGGTATTGTTACTATGAAAAGGCAGGGAATGTATTTTTAAGTTTTAAAAAATCAGCTCCAGTGATACTGCAAAATTGGAGCTGTATAATTACATGACATTTACCAATCATAGTTTTAAGGAGAAAACACAAAAGTACCTTAAATTCTGTTTTTTTCTAAATGGTATCAAGGAAAAACAAAAACTACTGTATTTTTGGAGTACAAATTCTATACTAGAAATTGAATTCCTCTGGTACTAGTGATACCTAAGAGATGAATCCCAGGTAGTCTGATGCCTGCAGGCTCTAAAAAGAGACCAGCTTGATATCTTTTCCACACTAATCTTTTCCTATTCCAAATAAATAGCATTGTGAAAATTGAATTTGCATCACCAGTTCAATTTAAAAGAAAGTAACTTTCTTGGGAATCACTTTTTGATATTTTTTTAAAAGTTAGATGATGCTATAGTCCTCACATTTAACCAGTTTTCTTTCACTATAAACAGAAAAAAAAGATGAAAGAACACCAAAAGCAAGCAAAGGACTACAGTGTATTAAAATAATTTACCTGGATGTTGCTGTTTTCACAAGGAATGACACTGCTTTCTGCAAGAGGTGACATGCACATATGAGAGTTTTCAATACTGAAGGCAATCCCACTCACAGAATCAGTCAGAGGTAAACTCCCATTGTCGATTGGTTCCTTAATCCAGGTGTTTTCATCTGCTGTCTCTATTGGGTCAACCATATCCACAGTATTATTCTCCTTCTCACTTTCAATATCTGGCAGCAGTACAAATTCTTTCTCAGAAGCATTGGACTGATTCTCTGTAATAGACATGGCAGTCACCACCAAATGTGTGTCGTGGGGAGACACATCACTATGCAACTGATGTAGGTGTACCCCAGCAGGGCCCGTGGCTGGTGATGAGGTATCTGTGGAAGGAATAGTTGCTTTATCTTCATCTTCACTGTGAGTTTCAAGAGTAAGAGGTATTTGAATCAGTGAGGTCTTAGAATGAGCATCACCTCGACACATGTCAAGTCTCATTGGAGACCAATTTTTAACTGGTGAACAGCCGTCTATGTAAGGACTTCTGATGCATGGATTAGTAATTCCATTAGAATGAGTTCCAGATGAAGCATCAGGAGAATGCAGAGTAAATTTCCTTTGTTCTAAAAGGTTGGCAGGGGAAAATGACAGCACAAAAACATAAAAATGGAAAAACCATTATTAAAAAAGTGATAATCATATTTCATGCCAGAAAAACTGGATTTCTGTAACATCTGTATTGTTTACTGAATTACCATTTTAGTGCGGAAAACAGCACAGATGAACATGCCTCCATAAGTAGGATAAAGATCCCCCAAAATACTTCCTCTGGCACTTGCTTTTTAAAATTCAACAAAACTTTTCACTCCATGAGAATTATTTCCTCATAAGTATATCACTACTGTAACAATATTGTTTGTATGCAAAAACAGTACTGACAATAACAATTTAGCAGCTGTATTCAGTAAATAAAATCTGTAAAAATCTGTGTTTATGAAAAATACTATAAGGCAAACAAAAAACTGTAAAATAATGTTTACAATAATAGAGCTAGCAAATGACAAAATGATAAAAAATCTTAAAACTTAATAGATTTTATAGCTACATTAGTTTAATAAAAACAAAACTTTTTAAAATGGGAAAAATCACAGAAACAACCCTCTGAATGATAAATAAACAAAGTGTTCATGTCACACAAGTAACAAAAAATATGGAAATTAATCCACTCCTAGACATAAACCCAAAGCACACAAAAATACTAGTTCAAAAGAATACCTGTACCCCTATGTTTACTACAACACCATTTATAATAGGTAAGACCTGGAAACAACCCAAAATAGATAACTAGATAAAAAGATGTGGTAACTGTACGCAGTGGAATACTATTCAGCAATCAAAATGATAAACTAATGCCATTCACAGCAAAATAGAGGAGCAAGAAGGAATTATGCCCAGTGAAATGTCAGAGGAAAGTATATGTTTCACTTATAGGAGGACTACAGGGGAACCAAATAAGGCACCAGGGAAAAAAATAACAAAAAACATAACACAGCAAAAATAGACAGCTATAAACAGAGACATTCTGTTGGGGTGAGGAGAGAGGAATTGGAACAAGGGAGGGAAGAGCACAGAGGACTATGGTGATGATACACGGGTGACCTGGTGGTGGGAATTCTATGGGGACTGCCCCTGAAAAAATCTGTAAAAATTTGTGTTCATACAACATACTATAAGGCAAACAAAAAAACTGTAAATTAATGTTTGCAGTAATAAAGAGCTTAAGAATGACAAACATTGTTTAAAAATCAACAATGATGCAAAATATAAATAAATAGGTTTAAAAAACAGTACATTAAAAGTGGAGATTCTTCTCCTAAGAAACAGATGAGCAATAAGCATTTGGAAAAAGTTCAACATTGTAATAATCAAAAGATACAAAAACTAAAGCAGTAGGAGATCTGGTTGTACCAACACCTTAACAAACACCAAAAAGAATGGTGATTTCAGTGTTTCTGGATGGGGGAGAAACTAGTACTCTCATACAAAACCAGTGAAAATTTTAATCAGTGTAACTTTATGGAGAAAATCTGACAAAGTTCATTAAAAGTCTTAAAAGCTTTCACCAAATAATTCCACTTCTGAGAATTTAACCTATAAGGACATAAGTATTTACAAGAATAACATACGTACAAGGATAATTATTATTTTGGGGATTAAAAAGTTAGTATTAGCATAAATGAAAACAAATATAAAGGTTACATTCATAAAACAGAATGTCAGAGAGGGATTGAAAATCATGGTTTCAGACAGTAAGTAATCTGACTTACCTATGAACATACACATTAATAAAACGTTTTGTAAAAAAAGCAGAACATAAAAGTATATATGTAAATGCATGTTTGTGGAGAATAAGATACACATCTCTATTAAAAGAAACTAACAAAAAAATGCCATTTGCAATTTTACAATCTTACCTACTATAGATTTTTTTATCATGAATATTTTTCAGAAAGTGCTTTAATTTTTTTCAAAGAAAAACTGATACATGCAAAGAAAAATAGGTAAATGCCATACACTATATTTACCATAAAAACCTTGCCAAACAACTGTATCTTTACAAAATGCAAATAGCCAATTACCAAAGTCTGAACCTACATGTCACAAAGCATATAAAATTCAACTTATCTCAAATATTCACATCTTTCAGTTATTTCCTTCGTAAGAATGTTTGAGATAAAGACCGCTACTCTGCTGAAAATCTTACCATGTCTTTAAAGTAAATTATTTCTTTTGTTAAAAAAAAAATCACAATTTCTAAATATGAAATATGAAGAGCTCCATGGTTAGGGAAAGCTAAAAAGAGCTTCCTTAATAACAAATATTGACAGTATATAATTTTTAATTAGGTATTTTTATTAGAAGACCTACCTGAGAGTGGTGTCATTCCTATTTTAAATGTAACTGGTGAGAAAGTGGGTGATGGGATAGGTGAAGGGTTGGTCATACTTCCCAAACTGTATTTTTTCGCACTACCATGAATAGGGCTAGAAGAAAACTGCCCCTGTGAGCAAAATAAATAGGTCAAATGATATGGTTCTCCACAGCTCTATTGTACTGGATGCTACTTACCTATATCTTCATTTATAAACTAGGTCATGTCAATTTTAGTCATTTACCAAAAGTCAAGATGCTAAAAGGCATGGCACCTTGTAACAAGAACATGTAGAATGTTACTAAAACTTAGAAATGTGCCAGTCACAATAAAATGCAAATGACAGCTATTTAAACAATCATATTTTTTAGTGAGCAAATATCTATGAAAAACTTTACTCCATTAATGCCAATTCAGGTGTGTTACACTGAAAATCTTACTAAAATAATTCAGTAAGTAGCTTACACTTCTATATATATGTCTAATGTGTGTGTGTGTGTGTGTGTGTGTGTGTGTGTGTGTGTCTAAATGCAAAATTGGAGACTAGCTGAAAACATTCCTATAGCTAGTGAGAAAATAAGAACTGGTTTAAACCTCATCAAAAACAAAACCCAAAAGATAACTATTCCTTCCCATGCAATATGAGTATCCAGGCCCAAGCAGCGCTATGGCAATCTGATCAGCCACTGTAATCCACTTCTTACCGAACTCGGTGTCTGCACAGGGCTCTTACGCTGTACAGGAGATAAATCTATTGAATAAAAAACTTCAAGTGATGTTTGAGCACCAGCATGAGGACTTGTGGGAGATGCAGGAGGTAAAGAGTCTGAAATACTTCCATTGCCATCTAAAAATAGCTTTCTCCTGAGAGATGAAGAACTGAGATTTCCAGGAGACTGGTCTGTGAATTCATCTGCTCTAAAATAGTCACCTATATTTAATGTTAAAAGAACAAAAGGCAGAGTTAGTTATTTTGAAGAACAATTACATTTCAGTTACGTGAGATTTTAAAATCAGCATATACTATGTTTTGTTTTTTTTTTCCAAAAGAAGGTAAAATTCCATTGCATATGTGATGTTTTAAATCTGAAATTATCCATTTTGAGTGTTTCATTATTAGCTTAGGTAATTCCAATAAAGATTTGTCCATGAATAGTATGTAAAGCTAATTATGATTAAAAGAAAAAAAAGCTAATTATGATTAAAAGAAAAAAAAAAAAGGTTAATTTAGGCCATGTTAAACAAAAGGGAGAAATTTCAGGATGGTTTCCTGACGTCTTTAGAGCAAGACAATGCCAGACAGTATCACTTACAAAAAGCCATCATCAGTACTCTGGTTTCTCTTCAGATCACATAAATCTTTTGCCTTTACAAAAAACCATTAAAACAAACCTTTTATTTAAGTTAGTAAAGGGCTTACACAAATACAATACCTACCAAGTATACTTTCTAAATTAAAATCCACAGGAAGAGACAGTAACGTCTGACAAGCAGCTGGAAGTGAACAGATAAATAAATACAAACATGGATAAATCAATGCAAGCACATTACATGCAATTTAGCATGTGCTTCCCAATCAACCATCTCCCCATGATGCTCCAGCCAAACTGCACTATTTCATTTATGCATCTTGTTACATAACATGGTACCTCTATAAGTGGTTTCCCACACTTTCCACTACAGATGTAAACTAGTGTGCTGCTGAGATTTGAATAAATTAAGAAGCCCGCCTATATCTGAGGACAGATTTCCCAATATTAACATTTCAAAAGGATCCCTTCCCAAAAATCCAGAAATTTATTCACAAAAGCTTTGAATACAGAACTATTGCTATTTCTAAACACAGCTAGATGTATCTATTTTGTTTAAAAGTCAGCTCTTATATAGCTCACCCATTAAAAGTGAGCAATTTCAACAGAGAAAAGTCCAAGCACATGAAATGAATTTAATATCATATGTAGCTTGCTATGAATTTAATAGCTTGATATGGATACTTCTTTTTAAATTATATTCATACTCACCATTACTTTTCTCAGAATGGATAGTCAGCTTTTTTCCAACTGGAGATTCATTATTTATGTTAATACCTGTAAGACATTGTCAATGAAACATCTTACATATCTTTTTTTTTTTCCCATTTAATTTAGGGTTACTTCTTCCAAGGAAAAAGTGAACCAAGGGGAAGAGACAAGAATGGATAACATTCACCTTCAACCTTTTAAGGCTGACATCACAGAGAGCAACCATCCTTTTCTTAAACAACATTACCTCCTCCTTTATGGTAGTAACCTTTCAAATTTTATCCTAGTGCTCCTTTGAAGTTAAAGAATTATTTTACAAGAAGCAAGCCAAATTTTATATATCGATATATAATACAGGCCACATAAGTCTCTGCACTTTATATGCAGACATGTATTTTTTTAATGCTGTACAGTAAAATTTTTTATTTGATTACAACAAAATAAGAATTTCCTTCCAACCCTATTGTTGATCTCTTTGGTTGGATTGACAATACAACCCAATAATACAAAATGGAACAGGACAAATTGAAATGTCTGAAATATATATATTTTACAGGTGTCTTAAAAAAGTAACAGGAAAAAAATATAAGAGCTTTACTAGGAACATGAAACAAGAATTAAAAGTATATTATAAAGGAGAAAATAAAGATACCATTGGTATATGAAGAAATAAAAATTACATCAGTCATTTAAAATGTCAAGCAATGAGAAAGGCAATAATGCAAAAACTGAATGATGCCAGGTCTTGGTAAGATACTGGACAAAGGGACCCTCGGTGCTGCTGGCGGCCACACAGTCTGTGCAGGCACACCAGACACCAGTCTGGTTCTATCTAGTCAAATCAGGTTGAACAAATCCGATTGTTATGATTTTATGGTTTGACTCACATGATTTTTAGTATACTCACATTTACTGGAATGATACTCTGGAATTTGTTTCCCATCATGATCAGTCCAAGGAGAGGGCACAATGACATCCTTGGTGAAAAACTACGAAAATTAAAATCATACAGTTAGGCATAAATTCCCACCAAGAAATGAGAAGGTACCAGTGCTATTTTCAAATAACCATCACTTTACAGTTATATTTAAAATTTTAATACTCAAAAGAACAAATGGCTAAAGGTTGTGAAATGGAAGAAATTTTAAATTTATATGTAGAGAAATTTTAATACTTCAAGTCAAGCACTGAAATTGAAATCTTGTAAATTAAGCTAAGGGCATTAATTTATGAACATTTTTTAATTTATCCTCCACCCCACTGTTTTTCTGGCAGTTGGGAGAGAACTGATGAAAGGGAGGATGGAGAGGGGAAAAAAGAAATGGAGACAGACATATAAAGATAAGTCAACCTGAATGACATGCTGGAATTGGCTTGCTCTGGCTCTCAAATGGGATTATTAGTTTCTGAAATTCTGTGCATCAGCTATCTAAGAGCCAATATTGAAGATGAAAGTACATAAACCTACAGTAAAATAACGGTAATATATACTTAAGATCATCATTGCTGATTCTTCTATATGCTCTTGAGGTTCACTGAGTCTTTTCTGGCTCTTTGGAGGAACGCCTCCACATACTGGTATACTTTTCCTATTCAGTCATGCCACGTGAGTGATGTGACGATGTCACAGTTGGAGTATTTACACAAGAGATGAAGAAATCGTGCTCTTCCCAAAGCCAGAGGGCGAGTGATTAAGTATTTGCCAGATGGCCAGAGCCAGTCTACTAATCATAGAACATTTGCGTATATGTCTTTCTTCTATCATTCCAGATAGAAAGTTAAGCCTAATAAAGTACTTTTCCCTTTCCTCTGTTTTGGGGAGCAGTACAAAACATTTTATTTTCTTTACACTTAGCAAAGAACTAATTTCCTTACCTAAGTTACCTAAGAATACAAGAGAAGAGATACAAAAAAGGGGTTCCCTGGAGGCACTGATTAGGATATAATAGAGAATTGCTAGAACAAAAGAAATATTAAGCCCCCAATGATTTATGAAGCAATATATAAATTCACTGAGAAATACAAATCCAAATAAAATGTAAAAATTTTAAAATAATAAGCCTAAAACAAATTAAGAAGTTTGATAATAACCAGTATTGCACATATGAGAAAGACAGTACATTAATGCTGCCAGGAGTAAAGATGGATACAACCTTTTGTAAAGTCAGTTTGGTAAAAGCAAAACTGAAAATTCAATTTCTGACTTAGCAAATTTAGTTCAAGTATACAAAGCTGTATTACAACTGTGTTGTTCACTGCAACATCATTTGTGCTAGAAAAACATCAAAACAACCTAAACATTTATCAACAGAAGTAGTTAAGGTTATGGCTCATTCATGCAATGGAATACTATGTTGTTACTACAGGACATAAAAATCTATGTGTGCTAGTTATGAAAAGATACCTAAGAAAATTAACAAGCAAAAATAGCAAGATGTAAAACAGTATGAGTGATAATCCTATATGTCTAAGATATTTAAAGGCTATAAACTTAACCTAAAAGTATACACATGAAATATTCTTTGAGGGAATGGGATGGTAATGAGGCACAATTCACTTTGGGAGGAATAAAGTACATGAAACTTTTCTAACACAAAGGTTTGTTTGGAAATACAAAAGGGCAACATTTACACTAAAAAAAAAATATGAGGGACTATCTTATCTCCTGATCTCTGACACAGTAAAGCTGAAGTCCTATGGGGTACAGGAGAGGTGAGGAGTAGAGATACGTGGAAGGGGGTTTGAGAGGATAAAAGCAAAATTAAGGAATGATGCCATGCCTACCTCAAAAATAACTAGATAAACTTTACATTTTAAGAGGAGCTGAGCAAATAAACTAAAAGTAAAAAACTTAGTTCATCATTTTTACTTTTAAAAAAATAGCCTACTAATGTGATATACTTTTTCTATTTAGTGCTAAGATATTTTCTTTCATGAAGTAGTTTATGCCTTAATAATCCACACAAAAGATAAAACCACCATCAATGCCAATTCATAGTCTGAAAATATTCAACTTCCTCTACAGAAACTTAAGGTGAAAAGAGGTTGGTGCTGATCCATCCCTGATGGCTCAATAAAAACACGCTGCACCCTAAGAATGAATAGATGGAAAAGCACAATCTTCACTAAAAAAAAAGACCTCAACTAGAGGGGAAAGCACTAACCTATAGATCACTAAGTAAGGCTTTGAATAGCTAAAAACATTAGACTTATGGAGACCGGAGAGATGCTTAAAATAGGGAGGCTGGCAAGTCCTGGGCAGTTGGGACAGCAAAGGATTTGCAGGAAGTCTTTCTAACAGAAGTGACAAGCATGCAGAATTGATGCTTAATTGGCTTAGCAGTTTTAAGTTACCTCTTCAATGGCTTTTTGTCTTTTGTCTTCCACATCTTTATCTAGTCTATACAGAGATAAAGAAGAAAAATAACCATGCCATTACTTCAGTTGATTGAACATTTAAAATAATAACGTTTCAAATAATTTCCTTCTGTTGAAACTGGCAAATGTTAAGCTCATTTTGAAAGAAAAATTGGTATCTTACCACATTTATAGAGGATAATATTCAATGTTCACTATTATGCTGGTAGGCTTAACCCCCTCTTCAGTTTGAATGAAATAATATTTTCCTTTAAAAGGCTTGTAATAATGTAAGTTACAATTAACTGATTTACATAAACTTTGTCATTTAATCACAGCAAATAAGGAGTAGTTCATTCCACAAATATCAATGAATTGTTTAAATCTTTTTCTTCAATAATGGCAAATTTAACATAAGTATAATTTCAGAATCAACTCTTATTCTGTAAAAGAAGGAAACTATCATCCTTACAGTTCTTAATAGCCAAACTTATTATGAAATTAAATATCAACAATATAAAATTTTGACCAATGAATTTTAAGTTTTTTTTCCATTTTGATATAATTTGCAATTACAGTAACCGAAGTTCATCGGTGGTAAGATTTAATATAAAGTGTCATGTCCCAAGCATAAGACACATGATGGCTAAAGATTCAGCAGTCAGTTTTGTTACAACCACTTTTAATCTGTTTCACGAAAGAATATTGCTTTCCACCAATAAACTGTTAAGACAATTCATTTTAAAAACAATGTAAAACTATTTTCTCTCTAATTTCTCCACGTATATATATTTTTTGTGACTCAGCCAAATTGATCTTAAGAATGTACATGTTTCAGAAATTAAAATCTTGAATTTTCTTAAGTAAGGGAAGTATGAGAAAAGTCTTCACAGAACATGATAATCAGCATGAACAGCCATTTTAAGTAAATTAGTTCTCTTCTTTTTATCATTGTCATATCAGGTCAAAATGAAGTCCATAGTAATAGCAGCACAGAACATGATTAAATGCATTGTGCCATTTGGAAAGTGCTGCTTCATCAGAAGGACCTTACGAACCTGGAATATTCAGGTGATTGCTAGAAGCAACAAGCACCAGTTCAGCAAAGTTATAAGAGAGCCAAGTTATAAGTAGACAGGTACTTATATAATAATTCACACAATACTGGCATGATAAATAAAAGTTACCAGTGTGTTGTAATGGATCTTTGCAGTTGTTGGGTGGGGGTGCTTCAGGACAATTTATCTCCTGTATGGGCAGACTCACTTATTTATACAGTTATGCCTTATAATTATCTTTTTTTATATGTAGCAGAGCATGAAAAGGTGAGAAGCACTGAGATAGGAAACTTGGATTAGACAGAGACATAGAATGCTACTGCTTGTTTATAAGAATGAATCATGTTTTGTTATGAATATACTTACTGCCCTTGTGAGAAATCATAACCAATCATTGAACTATATTAGTAAATTAAATTGAGGCCTTTTCCAATTCCTCACATAAATTTATCCAGGTGATACTCTATTTATTAATAACCAGAAATGCTATGTCACAACTTTGGTTAACTGTACTGTTCATTCTAGAGGACAGGAATAATATCCTGTACATTTTCAGTGTTCTTCACAATACTTAAATCTCTGAATTAATAGGTAATATTATCCATGGTCGGATACTGAAAAGATGAGGCAAAATAACATGCAATGTTTATATGAAATAAAATATTAGTACCATTTGTGACTCATCTACTTTTAGAGATTATTTTCTACTTTTTCTTTTCAAGGTTTTATTTACATTTCACTTAAGACCCTCTTCTACTTTTATCTCCATTCTATACTCTATAACAATTTGAATAGACATAAGTTAATAATGAGTGAGTAACCAAACATCAATTTATCTAGTCAAAAGGTAAAGAGGTAGAAAAGTCAGACAAATATTTTCAAGTGTCTCAAAAGTGTGACTGGATTCAAAAGTTAAAAAAAGTTGTTTTCCCTTTATTTTGAACTGAGGGCACATTTACCTCAAGACCAAAACTTAAAAGCTAGTTATAACAGGATTCAAGTTTTTCAAATATAAAGAAATCAAATTAAAATTGACATAAACAAGAGTCCCTAAAACTAATAACAGGTACTACTACCTGCAGTTTGTAATCAAAAACTGCATCTTCTGTACCACAGAAGTGCAAGTTCTCCCCATTAGGCACCATTACGCAGTTCAAGTGTGAAACACACCAGTGCTTGGAAGCCCTGGGTATGTGAACAAATAAGACTGCTCTGAACTAGGCTGAATTCAAGACAATGCAACAGAGATGCCCAAAGGGTCCTTGTCAGAGTAGGGTGATCTAGAAAAGCCCTCTGTTGGTAATGCATACCTTTTTGTTGACTGTCCCTTAACCTGGTAAGGGGATGCAAAGGGCAATGAAACAGCATTTCATGTTACCTGATACCATCAAACCCCGCAAAACAAAAAATTCAAAATGAAAATTTAGTAGCAGAATCCACAATCATGTAAACCAGATACAAATTTCAGAATAGCTTTCCCTCTACCAAATGCTAAGGAGGCAAAGGGGTCCCGTAAACAGCAGCAGATTACCTCTAAAGTAAAAAGAATCCTGTGCAGATTTAGAAGGGTTAGCAAGGGAATCTTACTGGTTTTATGTCTCTGAACTCACTCTGCACTTAGAACAAATCTATATCAAAATTCCCCCCCCCAATATTTTTGTTTATAAAAATATTCAACTTTTGGAATTTCCTAGCCCTCTTCACTAGATAATATATTATTACACTTAGGTGTGAGAAAGGAAAACTTACCGAGAATGACTTAAGTATAAAGCCTGACGATGAATATCTTCTGGGTCTATTTCTACAGGATTTATTACAGCTAGTTGATCAATAGACCATCTAAATTCCCCTGGAGTCTTAACAAAAGAAGTGAGTTTATCAGTAAAAGCAAACTAAAATAGTTCGTCAAAATACAACTAATGCGAGCTTCAAAAGTGATGGTTATAAAATGAAATTATTTAAAGCTCATATTTAAACATTTTATTTTACCACTAAGTTAAATGACAAATGGTTACCAAATCATACCATATCTACTGAATTGGCTGTATCTCTTAACGTAGTAAAATCTTCCATACAGGTGATTTTGCATAATCAGCATCACAACATAAAAGTCACAGTAAAGCAATGAGGATATAGACTATAGACATTGCACAATTCACAACCACAGCTATACAACATATCCATGTAAAAGTAAAATCTCTTAAGAGTTATCAAAGGTCATTACTTTCACTAAGAAAATAAACAGTCCTAGCTACAAAGTGCATGCAAAAACTCATAAAAGAGTTGGTCCTTAAAATACTGAAGAATGATAACCAGTATTGTTCAATTAAACCAAAACTATTTAAAATGTGTAATTCCAAGTTTAGGTTTTACAAATTTGGACTTAAAAACCCAAGATGCATACATTCTAGGGGCTTGAGGTTCAAACTCCAGTCATTGCATTATTTATTTTCATGAACACTAAGATAACTTAAATTTAATGCATCAATGAAAAATCATGACGTCTGATTAGTAATTTAATAGTTTTATTTATAAACTATTTAACTCCTCTAGCACATTACTGCTTGTTGTTTAAGCTGACATGAAAGTGAGTATAAACACTCATTTACAGTTTTTCTAGGTTACTTACTAGGTTAAAATATCAGACTTCAAAAGTTGTTCCCTTATGTTATAAAGAATAAAAATAATCTACAAATGATCAGGTCTTCCCTAATCTCTAAAGAGCACTTTCCATATCACCCTTGTGCTAAACCACTTATCATTGCACATAACATATTTTTTCAAATTGCTAAGTGTGTTTACTCCAAAAGAACAGAAGTGGACTTTTAAAATACAACCTATAAGCTAAGAATGTTTGACAAAAACCCAAAAGAATATTAGTATTGTATGATATGTTAAAATTACATGTAGAATTTAAAATTCACTGCCCATAAACAAAGCTTTATCAGGACACAGTCACACTCATTTCTGTAAGTACTACATGTAGTTGCTTTTGTGATGCAAGGAAGAGCTGAGTGGTTGTAATAGTGATCTGTGGGCCAGAGGAACTGCAAAGCCTAAAATATTTACTGTCTGGACTAAGACAGAAAACATTTGCTAAGCCCTGCAATAGAGTATCAAGTACTTGAGAGTCTTCATCTAATAAGCCTCACTTGTTCATGATGTAACCATGATGCCTCCTTGTATATACAGCACATATCTAATAGATAGCAGCATTCAAGTATTTGCTAAATATGGTAATCATATGGTAATCACAGATACATCATCAACCCTAGATAGCATTTAGCTACACTGGTAGTTGCAGAAAACAAATATGTTATCTACTAAATTTTAAGAAAAGAGAAGACTAAAGCTAACTTATTTTTAGCCTAGCCATTATAACCACTATTGCCCTTAGTTATAAGGAATTTCATCACTAAAAAATGCATGTTCTGTATATACACTCCCTGGTAAAAGTTGCCTCCTTGCCAGTAAAGATATTTTTTATTTAAAATAATTTGTAAACATTAGTCAACAATACTTACTTACTGGTAATTTTGTTGATTTAAAAACTGATGGACTAGAAAGAGTTTGTTCGTGGAGATTACAATAATCACCAGGACTTTCAAAAGGATTTAAAACAGGAATCCTCCCTGGAGTTTCTGGTGTTATTTGCATTTTTGATTCCTTGACATCTCCCATAGCACCGTGAGAAAACTAAAAAGAAATCAGAAATACGAGTAATAAATCTTCAAAGATCCATACATCGTTTGACAATTAAAATGATTTCAACATATATTTCACAAAACAACTCAAAACCTAACACCATTGGTATTAATTTACAAGAAAAGTATCACATACATTTTCTAAAGTAATGCAATAACCTTCAAAGCTAGTGATCATTTTGCTGAAAAATTAACAAGTGCAAAGAAGTTAAATGGCTTATAACTATTAATGTATTAATCATGACTGAGTTCTGGTCGTCTCTACAGGCAATTTTATGTTAGAATAGTCAGAAAACACCTTTCAATTAAAAGACATGTCAGTTCTGTGTTCATTATCTCAAGTCTCCATGAGCATTTGCACATCCTTCGTCTGTCCCATTAATTCCTAAAACACAGCAGTTACTAAACATAATTATAGCAAGAAATTAAGAGATGAGGAAGCTTGCACACGGGTGCTTTTCCTACACATCAGCCCCGTGTGAGAAGTTCCACTCATCAGATCTTTTGGTTGACGCTTTAAATATCCACCTTATGTTAGGACCCTCAAGATTGAAAGCAAGACTGTATTAATTCCAGCCCAAGGGGGCTTTACCTAGAGAAAACGAAACCACTTCTTGTAAGGTTGAAGTGCAGCTGGCTTCTTCGGCTGCAGAGCAGTTAAGGACACCCACGCCAGCGTCACTCTGGACTCTACGCGACCACACTTTCTAGTGCCCCACACTTAGGGAGCTACTCCTTCGCTGCTCCCATTCATCCCGGGACCAGCGGGAACGGGAATCCGAGGCCGGGAAAAGTGAGCTCTCCGATTCGAGACAAGAAGAAAGGCCAGGAAGTACAAAGAACATACCTAGTGATGAATACAAAAAGGAAGCCCCCAACAGTGACTCCAGGGTACTCCCGCAAGGACAGGCCAGCTCCCAAGACAGGCACAGACTCTTTAACTCCCCGCTTCCGCGCTGTTTTGGGCCAACCAGGGCACGGGGCCTGTAGCAGACTGGCCAATCGCGTCGCACTGCTGTCCGCGAACCAGCCAATCGCATCGAGGCCGCGTAGTAAATTCGAATGGCAACTCCTCGCTGTACTTTCCGCGCAGTGGAACGTGGCTCTAAATTCAAACCAACGCAGCCTCACGCTGGCGACGAGCGCGAGGGGCGGAGCCTTCCCGGCGTGAGCTGGGGGACGCGCGGAGGCGGCGGGGGGGAAGGGGGGCCTTGCCCAGGAGAGTGGAGGGGCTCCAGTTCCGGGTCAGGCCCTTCTTCCGCCTCCCTCGGCCACCACCATGGCGAGTAGTGGCGGCGCCGGTGCAGCGGCGGCGGCGAACCTGAACGCGGTGAGGGAGACCATGGACGGTGAGTGCCCGCGTTCGCCCGTCTACCTCGCCTCGGTTCTCCAGAGTCAAGGCTTCGAGGCGGGGGTGAGCCCGGGAGGACTTCAGGCCCCTTTTTGCCCTGAACAGCATCGTTGAGGCTCTTCCCCAAGGACCCGCCGGGACCACAGGGTTGGTGGTCGCATCTTTTGAGAGTTGTGTCATCGCTTCTGCGTAGTTTGTCGCGCGCACGACGTTCCGGCCTCCACGTCAGTCGGAGCGCTCTGTCCCACCCGCGCCCGGCCCTAGTCGCGCCCCCGCCGCTGCACCCACGTTTCCTCGCGTGTCGCGCCCCCTCCACGGGCCGCCGCGCCAGCCCTTTCCTTCGCGGTGCTCGCTGGACCCGGCGCCCTGGCTCTATGCTGAGCGCCCCCTTTTCGATCCCGAGCGGGGTTGCTTCGGAAACCCTAGAAACTGCAGCCCCCCCGACTCTAGATCTACAGACAGTGCCAGTGTCACCGCTGTGTTCTTTGTCCCTTGCACTTAAACACGCGTGTTTTAAAGGCCGGAGAATGAACAGATCGCCCCTTGGTTAGAATTGCTCGAATTTTTCGTACCGGAGCAGGTGACGCTCGTATCCTGGGGCGATGGGTGTATTTTCCTCTTTTCAGGATCCCGGAGGCTCAGGGAACGTTTTACCTGCACTCAGAAGAGGTAATCAGTATTGGAATTAGCCTTTCTGTCCTCTAATGCCGCCTCTGACACTTTCTACCCCTGATGGTGAGCTTAGACAAGCTATTTAAACATTTTGGAGGCCCTCCCTTCACCCCCCACCCCTTCTCCCTTGTAAAATGAGATTATTAAGTCTTGGGAATATTGTGAATATTTAAAGAAGACATCAAAACCTTCAGTGAAAGGTAGTTATTTTTGTGTTTTGTCAGATGTCAGCCCACTTAGAAACGTTTCTTTGTCCCCATCCTACCCCCAACCATACATTTAGTCTTTAGCTCCACCTACCCTCTCTTCTCCATGTAGCCCCGCCTTCTAGAGGTTTTGATAAAGCTTCTAACATTTAATACATTGACTCCTGTTTGCTTTTCAGAGTTTTTGCATGTTTTGTTTTTGCAGAGTTTTGCATGAACTGTAAATTAAACAGCCCTTTGCTTCTCAACTTTTCAGTTTGCAGTTGTCTGTTTTGCTGCTTTTTTGAAAAGCAGAATTTTGTTCCTGGTGTTTAACCCATTACCCCATCCTTCTCTATATTAGTGTGTGTTAATTTTGAAAGTGTAATTACAAATTTATGTCTGTAACATTTTTTGTGTCTTTGCTTGGGAAGCCAGTGCATTTTTTGCATTTCCAGTCCATTTTCTATTTATGTTAGCTTTTGGTCATTTTTGCTGAAAACGGCACACGACCCCATTAAATCGAAAACATTTGTTTTATCGCTGGTGTACAAATGAGAGCAGGTAGTTTATAATTAGTTAACATGATGGAGATTTTTAATGATAGATCTTTCTGTAAAATGAAATTTATAGAGTGTAAAAACCTGAAAACGTGCAGAAAGTTGAGAGACTTTCATAAAGGTTGCAGGAGGGAATTAGACAACATCGCTCCTCTGTACTCAGGTTTGCCTGCAAACCAGAAAATACAAAGGTCCCAGGTTGATAGTAGGTACATATTTATTAAATGTGGCGGTTACATATTCATGTTCGCTAAACCTTTAAATCATACAGAAGATCCTTCCTATCATGCTATAATTGTAGTCTAAAGCGTGAAGTTAAAGTTATTGCAAATGTGAAGTTAAGTTATTGCAAAGTTAATGATAAATAAAAATTTCCATGCTGTCTATAAAAGGTTGAGGAACCAAGGTAAGCCTGGTGACACATTGTAAATAATTGGCCATATGCTGAACTATAAATTAAACAACCCTAACTGCAGTTACTTTATAATCCCACTTCCCTCCTAGAAATAAAGCTTTAGCTTGCGTAAGGGATTGTTTGTCCTCCTCAAATACCATCACTGTTTGAAATTCTGTTAATGGGGCATTTCACTATATTTAAATCTATCCATGAAAACCCAAGTCTTTTTGGGTCTGACTACCTTCCTTTAAGATGCAATATATTTCCCCTCATTCTATCCCTCCCTCCCATCAATATTAATCTGTTAATGGTGATTTAATCTTTTAATGAAGGTCATTAATTTAAAGAGTTAGAACTCAGCTAAAAGTGATCCTATTTTTATTGTAAAATGAAAGGATTTTCATAAAGACACTTCAGACAAGGCAGGTAGACTTGGTCATTTATCTCTGCAGCTCACTCAGAAAGGAACCCAACTGATCTCGTCTGACTTAATGTAAGATGTTGCATAAGATCCTCTACTCTCATTCTTAGATCCTCAGCATTCTCTTTATACATTTCCTTTTAAAAATAGTCAGGTTTCTCAGGTAGCTAGAATACTAAGTTGCCTCCTTGCTTTTCAACATTTTGAAATTTTAGGTTCTCTTTACTGATAGTTTTATACTTTAATTTTTATCGTAGCCAAAAATTTTCTTTATGAGTCTTTTATAATTTTACGCCAGTAATTATGCTTTTGACTATTATGATAATAATGAGCTTTTTCTTTACTAGAGACTTCAGTGTAGTGCTACTTTATAATCAGTGAGCTAGAAAAAGGACATAAGAGTTCCACAGTGTGGAAGGCAGTGTCAGCAGAACATACAGTCCATGCTGCCAGCATTAATCTTGTTGCTCATGTGAGAAAGAAACCTGGAAGTCCGTCTTGCTTTCTTCACATACCTTACTTACTCTTCACTAAGCTCCTTTATCACAGATTTGATTAATTATATTGCCTGAGCGCTTCAGATCCATGAATTACCAAGTTCTCCCTGGCATAGGACCTTGTACAAGCCACTTTCTTGGCTCTCAGTCTTTGCCCCTTACGCTTGCTTCTACTTCAGTCAGGTTGATTTCTATTCACCCCTAAAAGTTTTAAGTTACTACTTAAGACAGTCTTTCCTAGGCACTGTTTCCTAGAAAGCTAAGTAAGATGCCTTTCTTACTTTGGAAGTATGCTATTTATCCTTCATTTAATAACTGAAATCAGTTATTATTCTAATCTCTTATTTTGATATCTATTTCTTCTAAACCGTAATGTTCATGAGGAATGGGATTCTTTCTGTCTTGTTTACAAGTATACGTACAGCAGTACCAAAGTAGGCACAAAATACTTATAGGTGCAACTGACATTGTAGGCAAAACAAAAATACTTACTGGTTACATTTTTATGAAGCTTGGAAGTAAAGATTAATGTGAGTTTTTAAGAAAAGCTTAAAGAAAGAAATATTAGTGCTGGAATGAACCTGAAGAGGCATCATGAGATTCAAGAGAAGAGAGGAAAAAACATGAAAGGACATGAAATTTACTTGTAGAAGAAATTTTTACCTGTAAATCAACGGTAAAACTGTTAGAAGCTTGCCTATAACTCTTTAAAGTAGCTGGCTGCACAGTGAAGTTAAATAATGTCCTAGGTTATCACCTAGAATGTAAGTGAAGCATAATCCCTGTATGAAAAGAAGCCCTAAAAATTAAAGAAATTGATGCTTCACTCTGAAAATTGATAAAAATTAGCACTTGCTGCAACTTTCTGTTCCAAGCATATAAAAGAATGAATTTGGATCACTCTCTAACTCCATGTATATAAAAATGACTGGAAGTCATATTAAAATACTATAATCAACACAGCCATGTTCAAAAACAGTAAAAGGAAAGAGCAAGGTTTTCCCCAAAGAAAGGAGCAGATGGGCACCTCAGCAGGCGGTTGGGAATGAAACCTGACAGAGCATGCTGCCCTGCCTGAAAGAAGCTGGAGGCCAGAACTGTGCCATCTGCCGTTACCAAGGATTGAGACTCACCATGCATTTGTCTTGTGGGTCTGGAGCCAGAATATTTGCACAAGGCATGAGCTACAGGGCTGAGGCTAATCTGAGGTAGTTGCATATCCAAGGATGCATCACCAATCCGAGTCTGGAAGATGCACTTTCAATTGAAAACATAAAGCACCCAAGAGAAATGCAAAACATAAAAAACTAACATAAAAAATGAAAAAGAAAAGTGAAAGTAGTAGTAAAGGCTAACTTTTTTAAGCACAATTCTTAGCATGCCCTTTATCTTCATAATGTTCCTGGAAAAAAAATAATGTTTCTGTTATTATCTCCATTTTACAGAGTGATAAAGTTACTGGCATTTCATCTTGCTTTTACTAAGTAATAGCATTCAAATTTGAACCTAGGTTGTTTGGCTCTAGAAAGCAGACACTTTTTTGCTTGCTTTGCTGCTTGCTTATATTTGCAAACAGAGGTCTCAAAAATAACTGAAATAGGACTATAACATACTCTAATAGATAAAGGCAGAAATAACAACCACAAGATTAGTAGTTGTGATAAATGAGTATGAGGAAAATGTAGGACTCTTAAAATAGGATTTTTTTTTTTTATTCGTACAGAACTGGGGTACAGGTCAGAGATACGGAGAGTGAGAGGATTCACCAGAGACAGAGTGGGGAGCAGAACAAGCAGATCGATGAAGTACACTGCTGAGGGGAGCAGCGGGCGGGCAGAAGCGGTTTGCCACCCCATGTGGTCACCTCCGGGGCTGGTGGGATCCAACTCATTCGGAAGTGGCTTAAGCTTCTTTGTGCTGTGCTTTAAGCCGCTGCGCCACCAAGGAGGGCCCTAAAATAGGATTTTTTTAAGAAAATGCAAAAGTAAAAGTCTGTACAACTAGAAAAGTATTGATATGTTAGAATATAAGAACTGAAACAATGAAAATGGGAAGGGCTGTCAGCTTCTAAACAAGATGGAGTAGCGAGCACTGTTGCTACCTAAAACAACCAACAGGACTCCACTAAAACATGTAGAACAGTTTTCAAGGCAGTAAGCATCAGGCAGCAAAGGACACTGATCCCTGACAGACAAGAAACGAATAAACACGAGCACAGTAGTTTCCTCAGCTTAAGTCCCTTTAGAGTTTTTGGGTCACACTACAGTGGTGTATGGTGGGAGGCCATGCAGAACCCTGTAGACAACTGAGTTAAGTAGAAAGAGCTTAGAGTCTAGGGAGACCAAGGCCGGAAGAGTTTGCAAGACAGAGTACCTGAGAGGAAACAGCTGCAAAGAGAGAATTTTGGAGAGCTGAAGAATGGTACCCCCTCAGCATTCAGCAGAGCTTTGATGAGCATCTGTGTAAGCAAATACCCAAGAAGCTGGAGAAAGAATCATCCAAAAGGATTGTGGCAACAGTTTCCATAAGACTGATAATGTACCTATATCAGCCTGCTAGAATGGAAAACTTAATAGTTCATAAGACAATGGGCAGAGCACTCAGGAAGGTTTTTACCTCAGTGAAGACCCAAAAGGACAATAGAGTTTCCAAATAACTGCATCTTATAACAAAGCTTGGGAATATGTATAGAAATATAAAAATATCCAATACCCAACAAGAAAGTTTATAATGTCTGGCATTTTAAAAATTAGGTATGCAAAGCAGGAAAATATGACTCATGGTGAGGAGAAAAATACCATCAAAACATGCAAAATTGACACAGATGTTAGAATTAGCAAATGAGGACATTTAAACTGTTCATGTGTCTAGAAAGTTAAGTGGAAGCATGGAAGATATTTACGTAAAGAAACAATTTGAACTTCTAGAGTTGAAAATGATTGATATGAAAAAGTAGGAAGGACCCCTTTAACAAGTTGACTACTTCAAACTTTCTGGGAAGAAAAGTTAAGTCCTGTCTTCCACCCAAGCTGCAGGGATTCAAATGTTTAAATATTTATGGGGAGAGTGAGATAACTTCTGAGTGCTGAAAGAGAATACTGAAGAATTACATAGGTAACTTTTATATAGGAACTGATTTTGTAAGCATAATGATAGGAGAAAAATGATAGCGGAAACAGTGTGTAACATGTTGACCATTGACCTACAAAGTTTTAAAACACATTCAGTAAAATGACCACCATAAAACAAAGCTTGGTTGAATCTGTTTATCCTTTGGTTCTCTGTCAGTGCTTTGCATGTCAAATACAATAGTATAATAAAACGAAGTACTATGAAAATGAAGTAAAAAAATGAAAGTTTTCAGTTTTACTAGATTCAGCAGACATTTACTTTCAAATTGTAAACTTTTCTTTCTTTTTTTAAATTTATTTTTGTGTGGAAGAACTATGGTGTAGGCCAGAGGTACAGGGGGTGAGAGGATTCACCTAACAAAGCGAGGAGCAAAACATGCGGGTCTGCTGAAATACACTGCCGAGGGGAGCAACAGGTTGGATCTGGAGAGGTCTGCTGTGCCATGTGGGTCCACTTCCTGGCCAGGGATTGAACTCAGAGGGGCTAGCACAGACTTAATCTCTAGGCCACCTGGGAGGTCCCTCAAATTGTAAACTTTTTTTTTAAGCATGTACTTTTTTTTTTTTAAGATTGATTTATTTATGCATACAGAACTGAGGTACAGGCCAGAGTCTGCAGGAGCGGTGAGAGGATTCACCAGAAACTGTGGGGAGCAGAATAGGCCGATTGATGAAGTGCACTGCTGAGGGGAGCAGCGGGAGGGTCAGGAAAGGTCTGCCATCCATGTGGGTCACCTGTAGGGGTCGGCAAACTCTCACTGAAGTGGCTTTAGCTTCTTAGTGCTGTGCTTTAACTCCCTGTGCCACCAGGGAGAACCCAAATTGTAAACATTTTTTTAAAAAAATATTTTATTTGTTCATACAGAACTGGGGTACAGGCCAGAGGTGGAGGGGCCGCAAGAGGCTTCACCAGAGACAGAGTGGGGAGCAGAACAGGCAGATCCACGAAGTACACTGCTGAGGGGAGCAGCGGGCGGGTCAGGAGAGGTCTGCCACACCATGTGGTCACCTCCAAGGCAGGCGGGAATTGAACTCATGCAGAAGTGGCTTTAGCTTCTTAGTGCTGTGCTTTAACCCTCTGTGCCACCAGGGAGGGCCCAAATTGTAAATATTTTTAAAGCCTTAAGTATGCATATTACTCACTGAGCAGTTTTACTCCTAGGAATTTTGTCTAATGAAGTTAAATTAGTTATAATATTGCTCATCCTAATATTATTTTAATAGGGGAAGCATGAGACCCACACAACTCAAAATAGGATGATGGCTAAATAATGTCTGATGGTTCTATAAAATGTAATGCTTTACTTTGTAAAATAACTAAAAATGGGCAGCTGCTTCTCTGCCCACCTGTGCCTATGCAGGTGTTTCTTTCCACCCTCTCTCCCTCTGCAGGTCAGCAGCTTCCTGCCTGTCCGTGACCCTCACCATGCCATGACTTGGCATGCTCTCCCTCTCCTGTCCCTTTCTAATAAACTTATTCTTTAAATATAAAAATAAATAAATAAATAATTGAAAGTGAAGAAATACAATAATCCTGATAATGATGCATACATTTTAGATACATAGTAAATGAGTAGTAGAATGTAAACTGAGATATGGAGGGGGGAGGCTATCTTTAAGTTCCTAGAGCTGAATATAGGAAAAACAGTATTAGAAGACAATTTCCAAATCTAGCAATACACTGCTAGTTGTTTGATGCTGTGCTGTATTGTATGAAATAAAAACAAAAGTGTATGTAAGGTTTTTTGTTTTTTTTTTTTTAAAGTTTTCTCTATCTTTTCAGTTCTGCTTGAGATTTCAAGAATATTGAATACTGGCTTAGATATGGAAACTCTGTCTATTTGTGTACGACTTTGTGAACAAGGAATTAATCCAGAAGCTTTATCATCAGTTATTAAAGAACTTCGAAAGGCCACTGAAGCACTAAAGGTTAGAGAATTGTGTGTTAGTTCATTTTAACTAAACATGCATTTGTTTAGAAAATGATTAATGATTAGATACACGAAAGACCTAGTTGAACAAGATTATACCAGTTTCTGTCACCATCAGGAGAAATCCTGCAGACTGAAGACCAGGAGCTTAGTGGCATATATTCAGATCACAAAAATTGCTATTGTCATAGCAAGAAGCTCCCAACTGTGTAGAATTTTCTTTGTTATCGGTAAAATTGTTATCTGCCCCCCAAAAAGCTCCTATCTGATACATGTGATAATGGCCTTATGTGGCAATAGTGTATCTGCTGCAGTCATCAAATTAAGATGAGATTGTAACATTCTAATGATGTGCTTATGAGACGGGAAATTGCTTACAAGATGGGAAATTTGGACACAGATAAAGAGAGCACCACCTGAAGACCCAGTTTATAGAGAGGAGGCAGAATTAGGAGCGATAGCAGCTACTAGCCAAAAAGGCCAAGAGCTGTCAGCATCTACCAGAAGAGTGGAAGGGGCAAGGAAAGAGCCTGTGCCACCGTCTTCAGTGTCGCCCTGGCCCGGCTGCCACCCTGGTTCTGGCGTTCTCACTTCCAGAACTGAGAGAATCAATTTCTGTTGTTTTAAATGACCCAGTGTGTGTTGTTTTGCTATGGAAATCTTAGAAAACTGAGACAGCATTTACTACTGGGTAGTAGGGAGCTGCTTTTTAAGAAATACCTAAAAATGTAGAAGTGACTTAGGAATTGGGTGGTGAGTTAAGATTGGGAAATTTAAAAGTGCTTGGTAGAAAAACTATAGAATGCCTTTGAGGAGATTTTTGGTAGACCTATTGACATTAAAGAAGATTCTGGTGAGCTCAGAAAGAAGAGAGAAGAGTTACAGAGAAAGTTTCGAGAAAATATATGTATGTACTTTTATGTCTCATTATGAACAAATTATTGCTAAAAATACAAAGATTGTGGTGAGAAACAAATATTGGATGTTGGTGGAAAGGCTATTCTTGCTATAAAGTGGCAGCATTTGGTTGAGTTATATTCTACTCTTGGGAGGAAGATAGAACTTGTAAGTAATGAATTTGGATATTTAGCTGAGGAAATTTCTAAGCAAAATGTGGAAAGTGTAGCTTGATTTTTCCTTGCTACTTCTAATGAAGTTGTAAGAGAAATGAGAATTGAAGAAGGAACTGGCAAACAGAACCAACACTTGGTTTGGAAACATACCAAAAGTGTCAGCCTTTAAGGCGTGACTCAGATTCCATACAGGACATAGCTAGCAGGAGCTTTAAGAGACAGGATCAGTGTGAAAGGAAGGGAAGGTTGTCAGACTCCAAGACTTTGCAGGTAGGGAACTGGCTATTAGAGCTGCCTGTGAACACACTGTCCTTCAAGGAAATGGAAGAATGACTCTGAAAGTAGACAAGAGCTCTCTGAGAGTGGGCAGTTAGATTAGTCCACCATGAACCCAGAGGACCACCTTATTCCAAATTAAAATTCCCCACCAGTAACATCAGAATATCCCTTATTCCACACCTTTGCCAATTCTCTTGCTTGTTATTGCAAGTCTTTAATTTTAATCATTCTGATGTGTATATCTGGGTTTTTTTTATGTAGCTTTTTGGCATATCTCTGAGTGCTAAATGGGGTTGAATGAGTTTTTACTTGTTTGTTTTGATGTTTTCCGTTCTGAGGTATCTTTTCAAGTTCTTAATGACTTTTCTGGGTTATCTGTCTTAGTTATAGTTTATTTTACCCCTAATTGCCATCCCTTCTATCACTTTACCCCTTCCGCCTTCCTTCTTACCTCTTAACCTGAGAAACCTCATTTATTATTGTCTTCTAGTTTAAAAGCAAGTGATTAGCTTGGTTCAATTTTCCACTGTGTAAATGCCAGTGTTTCTTATTCTGAGTTGCTTTACTATACACAATTCACGTCAATTCCTTCCACTGCTGCAATGGCAGCATTTTCTTATGACACAGTAATAATCAGTGTGAATATATTACATATTCTTGATCCAGAACTCTGTCAGTGGGTATTTAGGCTGTTTCCATATCCTAGCTATTATAATTAATTAATGCTATGATAATCACTGTAGAATATACCAAATACCATATGTTTAATATGATGATTTCATGTTCTTTGATAGATGTCCAAGAGCAGGATTGCTGGGTCTTATAATAATTACATTTTCAATTTTTTAAGGTAGATCCAAATTGCTTTCCAAAATGGCTGCACCAGTTTATAGTCCTATCAAGAATGTAGTAGGAGTCTTCTTTTTCTGCAACCTCTCCATTACTTGTTGGGGTCTTTTTTTTTTTTTTTTTTTAATTTATTTATGCTTACAGAATTAGGGTGTAGGCCAGAGATGTGGTGGGTAAAAGAATTCACCAGAGACAGAGTGGGGGAGCAGAACAGGCAGATACACTGAAACACACGGCTAATGAGAGCAGTGGGTGGGCCAGGAGAGGTCTGCCATGCTGTGTCGGTCAGCTCCCTGGGCGGAAATAGAACTCATGCTGAATAGAACTCATGCTGCCCTGGCTTTGGAGAGCTTCACAATGTGGTTCTTTAACCCATTACTCCACCAGGGAGAGCCCAGGAGAGCCTGGGGACACATCATATTGACACATAAGTGCTTGTTGCCATTTTGTTACTCTTAGTTAATTTTTTTGACATCATTTTTGTTTTATTTAGATTCCATTTCCATCGTATTTCTTCTATGGGTTTGTTTCAAGGCTCTGCTGAAGTTAGTATACATCGGACCATTTTTGTGGCTTGTTTTTGACAGTTTGATTTCAAACATGTACTGATTGGTCACGTTTTTCTCTCTTCCACATTGTATATGTTTAGGTGTCTGATAATCTTTGTTTTGTTGTTGTTGCTGCTTTATAATAGCCCCTATAGGTAGTACTTTCATGTCTCATTTGTTTGATAAACTCTTTTAGTTTTTGCCTTTCAGGGGACCTCTTTAATTCTGTATCCCTTATTCATGTAGTATGAATGCTACACAAGGTTGGTAGCTTACTTCATTTAAGTGAAAATACTTATTTCATTGTATCTTGGAAGAGAACCTCTAAAATTAATGTGAAAATGGAATGGGGCAAAGACAAGTTAAATTGCATTTGAGTTAAAAGTAATTTTAAAGACAACTAAAATCGCTTATATTATTTCAAGTATTTAAAGTAGATGATACTGAGACTAGGCTTAGGAAAAAGTACTAACAAGGTATTGCAAAAGCTACTTTAAGAAAATAGGATGGTAGGAAGAAAGAAACTTTTCAGAGCAAAGTAGACATTTTTTCAAGGTAGGTTTTAATTCCCTTCGATAGTAAATCCAAAGGGAGAGGCTAGTTTAGGATCGTTCTCTGAATCAACTACATAGTAAAACAAGGTAGATGCTGTTGGCTATAGAAAATGGTTTAAGCCCTGTTGAAAATTGAGTTATCTGAAGTTTTCCTAATACCTCAAGGGATTTTCATAAAAGACCTCTGCATAGACTAAACATAAAAGCAAATTTGATTAGGCAATTGAAATATAAATAGATGTTCGCCATGCATTTCTAAAATGTAATGTATTTAAAATAATTTTCTTATCTGAGAAATTAGTTTTTTTAAGATTTTTTTTTTAAGATAAGAATTGGGATGTAGGCTAGAGGTTCGTGGTGCCGGGTTGAGAGGATTCACCAGAGACAGACTGGAAAGCAGTAACAGGCAGACTGATTAAAATACACTGCTGAGGGGAGCAGCTGGCGAGTGAAGAGGGGTCTGGTGTGGCTCTTGGTCAGCTCCCACGCCAGGGATCAGACTAGCCTGGCCTGGTACTGTAGTGGCTACAAATAGCTTCACAGTGCTGAGACTAATCCCTTGCACCACCAGTGAGACCCAAGAAGTCATTTTTTAAAAAATCCTTTTAGAAATGCATCAAATTGTGTATTAATGAGTGATACGGTATCTAGGTATTTCAAGGAAAGAAATCAAGGAAAGTAAAATGCTTGTTGTTACAGGGTAAGCAGTATTAGTATTTGTTCATTCTTCTTTAGTCCTTTTTTCTTTACCTGAAAAGCATATAGAAAGGTTTTTTTTAATTATCTACTCCTTTCCACAAAAAAGGAAACATTGTGAAACAGACACTATTGAAGAATAAGACCTGCTGTGGGTTAATTTTCAAGTTGCAGTGTTATTTTACATTGACTATTTAACATGATACAGTGATTTTCTGCTTTTAGCAAAACAGTAAGTGTAGAAGGTAGCTCTGATGCACTGCAGAAAGTGAAAATCACTGCATTCTCATGATAAAAGTGGTTTGATGAATGAGGGGCAAAGATGTTTGTTAATATCAGTGCAATATCGACAAATTTATCATCATGGCATCTCTTTTTCTATAGTTTTATTATAATGAATCTTACTCTCTTATTCTAGGCTGCTGAAAATATGACAAGCTGACTTTCTGGAGAAATCCTGATGAGATATGTCAAGCTCTGCAAAAGGATTTGAAGATTGCATTGTTTTCAAGAATGTACAATGAAATTACAGCATGCAGCAGTGTAGACACATTTTCTTTTTTAAGAAAATTATAAAACCATAGCTTTATAAATCAGTGGAAAGTGGCTTACAGAGAACTATCAGATATTTTTATGTTACATCTTGCTTTTTTAAAAAATATTTTGAATGGCTTGCCATTACTGTGTTCACATTTATGTATTTCCTATCTATAGCTCTGATAGCTTTAATTTTCTAAGCAGTCTCTGTCCAGTCTGCACATCTGCTGTGCCTGGTTGAAGTAGAGTGGAGCCCATCAGCAGTAATGTAGTAGTTGTAACTTGTTGACATTTCCATTATAAACGTTAATTTTGAATTGCTTGTGCAAAGTAACTGGATTTATGTTGTATTAGGCTAGAAGTTGTCAGAATTTCAGCCACTATAAATTTTGATTTAGATTCATTATGTGTATCAGAATCTTTTATTTTAATGAAAACATTTGTTGTAATCTGCTCCATAACAAAGAATATTTAGTATTTTAAACATAAAGTTTGAGAGTTAACAGATAAGAACCAATCAACCAGTTTAAAGTAAAACTTTTAGAGACTTAAACTTTTATTTAATAATGACAGTGCTAAGCTTGGAAATGTATCATTTAAATCATTTAGATTAATAGGAATATTGAGAATGTTTCATTCTCAGTTTATACTCTGTAAATTATGGTCTAAAAAACAATGTGTAATGAAACATTTCCTACATGAAAAATTCTTTCCATTTATTACAGCAAAATCATTTGAGCACTTACCTAATAAATCTTGAGTGATTAATACATCACTAAATAGGAGAGGTCTTTCAACAGAAGATATTTTCTGAACAAAAAGAGCTGTCTAGTCATTAGAAACTAATCAAAAGTTCTTTATCAGGGATTAAAACATGCCTTTCTAGGGTTATTTTTGCATGTCATTTTTTTTTTTCACCCTGGAAGTTTTAACTAATGAGAATGATGGTTCAAAGTAAATTTTAGAAAATTTAGGTTAACATTGATTCTGTTCTGTAATAGAATCTCAATGCATTATTTTTATCAAGCCTACTACAACTTCAATTTTAATGTTTCTTAAATATCAGACTTTGTTAGCTTCCATTTGAACTATACCACAAGCTTTACTCTTTAGCAGGACTGTTTGTTCTTCAAACAAGCTGAAGTGGTTTTAAGAATTCTTAGTAATATTTAAATGGCAACCTTCTGTACTGTTGTTTTTTTAAAAAAATCTGTTCTTTAGATGATACAGACTTTTTAAATGCATGGTATCTTTACCAAGTGCACTGGAAAGTCTATTGACAAAACTAGTTGGGGGCTAATAACAGCTTGAATAGACATTTATTTGGAAATAAACACTGCATGTTGTCAGTTGTAAATCATAAGAGAACACTTTGTCAAGCTCCCAAATTTGTATATACTTTTTGGCCATTAGAATTAATAGTTTTATTTATGACTTAGAATTAATAGTTTTATTTATAGATTTAGTTACTTATGTATGAAACAAAGCAGGAAATATATTTGAGAAGGAGTTATGTTTACAGAGGACTTCTTTAATGTGTTACTTTTTAAATGTAAACATATATTTTTAATGCATATGAAGTAATAGTTAAGGAAACCAAGCAAAGTAATGATACAATCACAGTGTTGTGTTTATTGTCAATGACAAAAATAAAAATATTTGATAGTATATGCTTCTGTGAATTCAACTTGTGTATCAGTAATTCTGTAGATTTAGATGCTTGTTACTTAGATTGAAGACTGCTTAAAGACTTAGTAATTTACCATGTAAAGTGGATTACTTTTCCCTAGTAATAAAAGGAGAAGGGCACCTTAACATTGCCCCAGGCTTGAAAACAAAGCTGGCTTTTCAAATAGGCCTGAGATTTTTTTCTATACTTCAAATAAGCTTCTTTACCATAGTGAGACATGAAAGATACCTGCATGTTCCAAACCTAAAAGTTTCCAGTGGCTGAATTACCAGTTTTTAAGTACATAAATTAAAATTCTTCATACTTGTCACATTTTTATTGTGATAAGGAATACATAATAAAACATTTACCATTATCATTTTAAGTTGTATATTCAACCATGACTACTATCCAGAATGTTTTGACCATCAAAACAGAAACTCTGTCTATTACCAATAACTTTATTCTTAAATTTTCCCCATCTCAAAGAAAGGGTGAACATTTTCCCCCTTGTTTTATAAATTTCACTACTCTAAGTACTTTGTCTAAGAGGAATCAAACAATGTTTTTCTTTTTGTGTCTCATTTCACTTGGTATGATGACCTCAAATTTTGGTATAGTGCCTTATATCAGAATCTCCTTTTTAAAGCTGAGTAATATTCCCATGTATGTATGTGCATGTGCACATACATATTGTTTGTGTACATATATAAATGGTTTATATACATTTATATAATGTACTGTTAATTATGTACATTATATATTTATCATTTATATACTTTTAGGCATTCATATCTGGATGTTTGATTTTCTAGTTTTTGTTTGAGTTGCTACTTTTTGGCTATTGTGAATAATGCTTCTACAAACATTGGTGTACAAATACTGTTCAAGTATTTGCTTCATTTCTTTCCAGTATATATGGCAAAGTGATATTAGTGGATCATGGTAATTATATATTGAATTTTTTGAGGAACTACCATGTTCTTTTCCATAGTTGCTTCCATAGTTGCTGTACCATATTAAATTTCACCCATGCACTAGGGATCTACTTTATTCCTATCCTTGTCAATGCTTATTTCTCTTTTTGTTGGTTTATTTGCTGTCTAATTAGGTGTAATGTGTCATCTAATTGTAGTTTCCATTTGCATTTACTTAGTGATGTGGAGCATCTTTTTCATGTACTTACTGGCTGTTTGTAAATTTTTGGACAAATGTCTGTTAAAGGCCTTTGACCAAGTTTTGTTTTATTGTTGCATTGTTATTTATTCTGGAATATTAATCCCTTATCAGATACATGACTTGCAGATATTTTCTTCCAATTTGTGGGTCTCTTTTTCACTTCTTTTTTTAAAGATGTATTTTATTTTTGAATACAAGAACTGGGGTACAGGCCAGAGGTGTGGGGGAAGGAGAAAACAGAGAGGGGAGCAGAACAAAACAGGTGACTTGACTGAAATACACTGCTGAGGAGAGCAACAGGTGAAAAAGGAGAGGTCTGCTGCAACCACATGGGTCAGCTTCCTGACTGGGGATTGCATTTATGCTGCAATGGCTGGTGATTGTTTGATATAGCGAGACTTAACTCTTGGCCACCAGGAAGGCCCTCTTTTTCACTCTTAAAATTGTTCTTTGGTGATTAACAACTATATACCAGAGACTTTTTACAGGGGTGGAGTGGGGAATGGGATAAAAAATGGTGGTGGGGGTGAAGTACACTGGATTATGGTGATGGCACCTGGATGATTTGGTGGTGGGAAGCCCATGGGGATTACAACTGAGATGGAAAAAGGCCAAAAATGATGTAAAAATAAACTTTTTTTAAGTGTTTTTTCGGTGCTCAAAGTTTTAAATTTTGATGAGGTTACAATTACCTCTTGTCACCAGTGCTTTTGCTGTCATGTCCAGGAAATAATTGCCACACAAGCTTTTCTACTGTAAGAATTTCAGCTGTTACATTTAGATCTTTGAGCCCTCCTCATCTAATTTTTGTTTGGTGAAAGGACTAGCCACATTTTATTATTATTATTATTATAACAGTTTATTCTTACATCATTTTGTGCCTTTTTCCATCTCAGTTGTAGTCCCTGAGGGCTTCCTATCACCAGTTCACCTATGTGCAATCACCATAATCCAGTGCACTTCCCTGTCCAACTGCCCCGCCACCTTTCCTCCCCTCCCCCGCCTCCATTTTTGATCCCATTCCCCACTCCACCCTCATAAAATGTCTCTGGTATATAGTTCATTATTTTTTTTTCCTCCTGGTCCTTTATGCCATCCAGTATTTTTCTTTTTCTTTCTGGGACTAGCCACATTTTAAGTTATAATATGCATGTGTGACCAGAAGTTCATTTTGGATGCTACAGCTTCAGTCATTTTTCCCTTTCTTGTGTTCTCACAACACTCAACCACCATTATGGTGTTATTTAGTGGGTACCTTTTAATTAAGGTAAGTAACAGGGTAAAACATTGATTTTATAAAAAGCTGTAACTGAGGACCCCAATTCTGGTTCCCAAGGTCTCTTGTTTATTAAGTTCAGTGTTCATATATATGAGGTTGAAGTATATTAAATTCTGTTAAAAATGGGGGTACATCTGTTTGTCCCAAATAGATTTCAGGAAGTCTATAATAAACACATTTTTAGAGTAAATGGGTAAATGGGTGTCTTATGGGCCCTCGGGCTGAATGGAAATGCAGGTGTATTTGATGGAAGCAGTTTACATTGTCCCTTCTACTGAAAATAATATGTTGCCAGATGTACACTAAAAGGCCTTAATGAGGTTGTTCTGATAACTGTATTTCCAAGAGGTGATGTTGGAAAACTGTCTTGTTAAAATTTCTAGTGTTTGCTTACTTTCCTTCCAGTAAATGGACTTTTTATTGTAACAGCCACAGCTTATACTTGAATTTGCTGACTGTTCTATATTGAAATATCTAGATAAACTAATGTAAATTTTGTAAATATATATACTTATCATTTACTCTGAATACCCTGTTTGTCAAACTAATACAAAATATCACCCATTTCAGTTTCACCAACACAGAGGAAAATTGAAACTACACAATTGGCTTCCAGAGCTATGTGATTGCTCTGGTTTTCTTAATGCTCATCTTTATAAGCTGACTAGAAGGTACCTAATGCCTTACCAGGAGGAACATGGAAAATTACAGCAGAAATGGACTTGCTTATAGCATCTTCATATGTCTTCAAAAGTAAATGATAATATCTCAGCAATTTAATGGAAACTTTAATGGACACTTAATTACATCTCCTTAAGCCTGTTCAGCGGTATCATGTGAGTTTATTTTATTACCCCTAACACCTAGAGTTATTTGGGCATCTGTGATTTTTGCAATGTGTGTTTTGTGTACCCCACTGGCTTATTTATAAGTTTTTTTTTTATTTAAATAGGTTTACTTCTTAAAATTCTTAGTACAGTTGTTTTCATTGTAACACTTTATGACTCTTAAAATGGACAATCAGTGTAATCCCCATAGGTAGAAAGTAACTATAATTACAACAAAAAGGAAACAGTTTAGTCATGTCTTTAGAAGCTGACTCTGAGACCTACTTCTTATTTCATAGAAGATGATCAAGTGGTAGATATACAACAGAATTGAATGACCAGAAAGGTTAAAAGATTATGAAAAAGTGAAATGCACATGGCTTTTATTGCATCGTAAGTATGTTTACTAAATGAACCCTCTTTGGTATTCATCCGATATTTTTGAAAAAACACTATCCATATAATACATTATAATATCCACATATTGTAGTAGAAAACTCAGTCTTTAAGGTAAGATAGGTTTCTTACCTGTAGGATGAAGGTAAGTAACCAATATTGTGAAGATTTAGTGGCAATAACATGTAAAATGCCTAACACTGCCTAGCACATAGTAGGAGCTTCATAAATGTTCACTTTGTATTTTGTATTAATTGGAGTCACATGGCAACTAATTTCAGAGATGGCACAATGATTTCGAATAGACAAATTCAAAATGCACTTATCAATAGAATCAAAACAAATGTTAAACTAAGACCTAAACTTAATTTTGCATACTTTTTTTTTTTTTGGACACAGACAATGTATAAATATAAGTGTTTATTGTGTATAGAAGGAACATCAAGACATCCTACCAGTAAAACTAAAAGATTAATATGTAGCTAAGTTTTGGTGTAAAGACTTGCATAGCTAATTAGTGAAAGGCCCATGGGGATAAGAATTCTAGAAGAAGTAAGGATCATGAATCATTTTTAAATCTCTTATTTTCAACATAAAAAGAACTCACTGTTCTCAGTTGCATCTGAAAATCCCAGTGGGAATATCAGGGAGCTTTGTGCCTGCTGAACACTGAGAACCATCATGTAAAATAGAAGTAAACAGCTGGCTAAATGAAAGCTTCCTTGGAAGGCCACTGAAAAAATTGTGGGGGAGGGAAGGGAGCCAGGGAGAACTGTATTAATTCCAGCCCTGGTGAACACCATTCCTGCTCTCACCTGTCATTACCTTGTAGAAGTGGAAAAGACTTACCAATCAGGGTCAAGTTCAGAGAGAAACAGCAAAGCATTTTGTGTGGAACAAAGATAAAAGTGCTTTGATTTCACAAAAATGGCACTCTCAGTGTTGAAGTGTTCTTACATTGAAATGCTTCTGCACAAAGACCTTGGGGACCTGGGAGGCTTAGGAAAAACTGGTGTGGACCTGACCTTTCAAGGTAGCAGCCACTAGTAGGACTAGATAGGGAAGGAGTTGTGATGGATTATTATGATCCTACACTGTCATTTTCATTATTTCTGAAAGGTTTAAGAAACAATGTTGGGATTTAGCAGTAAATCTGTTTAACAAGGCAGTCCTAAGGGAAAACAACGTGTGGAAGAGACAAGATGCTTTCTCAGCTGGGATTTCTTCAGTCTTGTCTTCTCTCACTTTCACGCTTTTTTGTGCCAGGCTTTCTTGTTTTACAACCTCAGGTCAGAACAAAGGAATTTATACTAAGGTGTTCCTAATAATGTGTCTTCCTCCTCTGGGGAAAGCCAAGTCCTAGAAGAGGACTTAACTTGAATGTAGACAGCTGGGTAGCACTGGGCAAGGGGAAAGCATAGCAGGGTGAACTTTTTAAGGTCATTTCAATCATTTGACCTGGATCCACCATGTTCTTCCTAAATCATCCAATATTAGGCCAGCTCAATAGGGGTTACAAGTTGTCTCATGATCTGTGAGTAACAAACAGAAATGAAGGATGGAGTGCTTTGGTTTGGCTTGCATACCTTTGTCCTTAGTTTTTATGTCAAATGCAATTAACTCCTCCTGTTTAGACACATCACTAAACTGTCAAAATAGCATGTGCCATTTCTAAGAGTCAACCCCTGTACACAGGTCTTAGACAAACATTTGGAATTGAAATTGTCTACACTGCTCTAGAAACAAGGTAGGAAAAAAAGTACTAGTACCATATTGTTCCAGAAAAACCAACTGGAGATGCATTTTCATAGACTATTCTAATGCATCAATCAGACTTAACGTGGTGTTAAATGCTCAGGCCCCACCCCACCCCAAAAGTGGGCATAGTTTTCATAAGTCAGCTGTCTTTTGAAAATTTACTACTATTAAATATTTTACACATAAACACAACTATAATACAATAAATAATTGCTAACCCTTCTCACAGAAAAAAAAAATTTAACAATTTTCTTCTTCAA